GGGTTGGGCATTTATTGTTATTATATGCCAGGGACTATTCTGAGTGATTAGCAAGATTCACAGTCATTCTGTAGAATAATTACTATTATTTACGTTTTACAGATAAAAATGCTTGTATATAGCAAGTTTTTGTAAGTGGGTTGAGATCATACAGCCAGAAGATGGCAGAATGCAGGCTTCAATACCAGCGTGGAGAATCCATGCTCTTAACAGCTGTTAGGAGGAGGGATTTATCACCTATTATGGCAGAATAAAAGACCTAGTGCTTCCAAATTTGACATTACAAAGCAGTGGACTTCAGTCACCAAAGGAAGGAAGAGGAAAGTTTGTTTTCTTAAATATTTTCTCCTGCTGCACAATTCGCTCTGAAAATAAATGACACCTCTTCTTTGTCCTCATTTGCTTTTACACTCCTTTGTTTTGCATAATATTAAAATAAAGACACAGAGTCATGACTAGTTTTTTCCCAGCTTACCTGTACTTAAGTACTGGAGTGTTTGGAAAGCCAGCAGCTCATATTGCTCAGCTTTAATCCAGCAGTTGAGCAAATGTCCTGATCATTGTGCAGTGTTCACACCCAGGCTTGGTGGCAAGTACAGTGCCCAGTATCAACAGTGACAGGGAATGGAAAGCTGCCCTAATTGACAGCTGTAATTTTTTTGACGAAACAGAAATGAACATATCCATGCATTCACACACAAAATTCGAAAATAGTTCTAAGATTAGAAAGTACTAACCTGATGTAGAAAAACAGGTGCAAAATGAAGAACACATAATAATTAATTAGCTTTTAAAGTTTCAACAAAGGAGCAATGCATTTGAATTTCAGTTATAACCTCCCTCTCTTAGGAAGTATCTTTCTTTCAAAACTATTAGGTATTAGTTGACCACCACCGGTGGCTCCCACAGAGGTTAAATCTAACCTGATTTTTCCTATCAGAGTACATGAGGGGAATTTTTGAAACCTCTTTCTTGCAAGGAATTACCTTGTAGAGCTGAAGTACCTTGGCAAAGGTTTTTATAGCACTATAGGCAGGTTGTAAAACAAATGGAAAATGTTAAAGAATGATCTGTAGAATGCAGAATTAAAGTGTTTTGAGAGATTCATCTATCTGTGGGGATTTTTATCATCTCCATATCATTTGAGATACAGCAAGGTCTTTGATTGGTCAAGATGAATAGTACTAATGATTCCTCAGAAATTCAAAGGCTTAGTATTAATTACTTCCCAACAGCTGGCTGTATTTATAGTACTGCTAAGGATAAGTAGCTGAGTAAGGATATTGCCGATTTAGAAATGTCCCTAAACAATTTACCCTCCCTTCCCAGAGTAGTAGCTGTAGAAAGAAATGGAAGGTTCAAAGCTTCTATCCTGACAACCAGGACTGATGCCTGTCAACAGCAGTTTTACTTGGTCCTCACAGTATTTTTTTTCTTTCAAGTAAATTAGTTAACAACATTTCAAAATCAAGAGATTCCTAGGATGAACAATGAAGCAGTGCCAGACTTCATGAACTTCTTGTACAGAATTTCTTAGAACATTCTGCAGTGGTGGAAATGTTCCTGTGCAGCAGCTACTAGCCACATATGGTTATTAAGCATTCAAATGTAGTTAGTGTGACTGAGAAACTAGATTTGATTTTATTTTTTACTTTTTTTGATAAACTGAATTTTGTTCACTTTAAATACCTGATGTTTCTATAGCCACTGATGAGTAGGACCATTGACATTGAACACTGCAGTTCCAGGACAGCCAAGCAGGATCCAGGAGTCCTAACATCAAAGTAATAAGTATATGGGCTTCTCCCAGCCTCTCAGATCACAGAGGAAATGATAAGCAGGTTTTCTTTGTTTTGTCTTGTTTTGTTTTTAATGAAAAGCAACTCCCACTTGCACTGTCTTTTTTTTTTATTCAAGCTGCTTCTAAATTGCATTGGGAATCATTGAGTACTTCAGTTAACACAGAATTAAGATGGTATCCCAAATACTTTATTGATCACCTTTAATGACTTGAGGATTGATGGAGAAATAGTGTCTACTTAGATTTTGCTTTACTTATTTCTCAGCATATCTCTCTTCTTATGGATTACTTTCTCTTTTAAAATATACCCACATTTAAGTCACATATGAGTATATCTAATAAGATAATGAAAATCAGGCAGAAAATCTTAGTTTTCATAGCTTAATGATAGTTAGGGAATAGATCAACAATAACAACAACAGAGAACAATATTTAACTTAAATTTTATATTAATGAAAATTTCAAAACATCCAGGTTCAAAAAAGGAAGGCTTTTATTTTTTAAAATAAAAATAATTCTAAAAATCTTAAAACATTTGGGAGTATATGTTTATAATTAAATGCATTCAAAATTAAACTCATATAAATCGTTTTTGGTCGAGAAGAAAAAGTGTAGATAGAAGAAGGAAGCATATCTCAATTTTTCAAGTTTTTGTTTGACAAATAGTTCACAAGGAAATTTTATCTGACATTCAAACTTAAGCTCAAGAATTTACTTAAGTTGGCTGTTGGCATATTTTAAAGAAGTAGAATATTCTGTGATTAAAAATAAAGAAAATATTAGGAAGATGAATCTCTGTTCATCATCCTTTGTCAAACCTGGTGATGACTGTTGCCCTCTTTGGGGCACATTGGTCATTCAACTGTGGAAAGTAGACATTTGGGAAACAGCATGGTGTCTCCCTCTTAGTTATCCTACCAGGTGCTGTTGATTTTTTACTTTTCAGACCAGTACCTTCTCAGTTCATTCTTATGACATCTCTCCTGCACACCCACCTGCCTATTGTCTCACTCCCACTCCTGAAACATCCTCCTAACTGCTTCTCCTGCATCCACTGTTCCAAGCCTTACAGTGCAGCTACAGTGAATTTAAGAGAAAACTAATCTATTTATGCTTTTCTCATGATTTAAAATGGTGTGTTTCAAGAAACACCCCAAATCTTTAATTAGCTAAAAGATCCTATATGATCTGATCTAGCTTCTGCTACCTTGCTAGCTTTGAAAAGAGCCATATTCTTTAGGGTTAGTAGTAGTGCTCTTAAAATAACAGTAGCTTTAGCACAGAAGTTTGTATCTTAGGTTAATGGCAATCCAAAGACTGGTATAGTAAATTCATTGTTCTCTGGGATCTAGGCTGCTTTCATCTTGACATTTTGCCATCCTCATAACACAATTTCCAACTTTAAGGTCGAAAGTGGCTGTTCTAGCTACACTATCACACCTTCATTCCAGTCAGCACAAAAGCAGAAAGGGAAAGAATTGGTAAGTCCCTTGAAAATGGGATACATGGGATGAAAAAATATTAATAAGACATGAAATGTCTTTGACTTACACATTCTGTCTTATTTTCCTGACCTTGGCTGATTTGTAAGTATGTCCAAAATAATTTTTCTAATTGGCAACATTCATCATTTAAAATCCTTTTCACCCAAGGGTGCTTTGTGACAGAGAAGGTGAACACTAAACTGTGGCCTGCAGAAGATCAAGTCTAACACCAGGCCCAGAACAAGAAGAGGAGAAATTAAACCTGTGTATATGGAATCTCAGAAACTTAGAAAATTCTCTGCTGTTCAGAAAGAAAGAGAATAAGTGAAATATTGTGAGACTCAAAAAATGACTACATGTTTGTCGTGAGAAATACTTCAAATCTTAAAATTGCATGCCTTAATACATTTTATTTGTTAAGTATTGAGGCTAAGAGGAATTGTTGCTCATGAGAGACAAAGGTCTGAAAAAGAAAACAATCACTGGACTTGTATTTAATCACTTTTTATTTTCTCAGATCTCGGTCATGTCATTATCTGGCTTTTGTGCTTACATAACTTAATTAAGCAAGTTCAGGCATCAGTGGGAATAGGAGAGCAAGATGAAAGGGTAACAATTTAAATGGATTGCCAGCAGATGCGTGATATGGATGGAGATGAAGCCTATTAAGGACCTCATTCAGGAAGAAGCTCTTGACATTGATCATTTGTGAAAGGGAATTTTTTTTTCTTACCCACATACTTGGTTTTGTACACTTGTCTACAAACCTTAAGCAGTAGTACATCTGATCATCAACTTGTGGAATTACTAACACGGAGCCACTTTGAAAGAGCAGACAAGGTTATTAACTTTTGTAGGAAATGAAAATTTGGCCTTAATATACATGTGAAATTGAATTGTCTGTAGCACAAAGCTTTGGAGATTACCCATGCAAAATGAGAAAACTATCTAAATTTAAAATTGTCCTCAGTACAGTGAAATGTAATTTTGCAAACCACATTTTTACTGCAGTGAAATCTGTGAAGAGATTGGCTCTATTAATTTAGATTTAAACAGAGGCTCCGTGTCTTCTAAAAATGGTAAATGAGATGGAAAATGTACTTTAAGGAGAAAAAAGAGTTTTTGAAAATGCTGCAGGCAGGCTCCATACTCCACATCTTTGAGTCTACTCTGAGACCAGTTGGCTTCAGAAGAAGGTCTTGATATACTGTGACAGGTAGTTGGAATAAGAACATGCAGACAACACCTCAGTTACATGTAGCAGGCTTCAAGAATAGGATAAGAAGCAAATCAAGTAAAACCCAAAGCCGAAGTCACTGACAGCTCTTACTTAATAGTAGGTAGCTGAGTCCTTGACAGAAAAAGAAAAGATTAAAAAGAAATTGAATGTATTTTCTCAAATATCAAATAACTTTCTTACAATCCCTGCCTGAAAAGATAGTGTAGGTAGGGGATTTGATGACACAAACTACCTTCTCACACAAAAGTTTTTTGTATGAAAAGAAATTAAGTTTTCCATTCCCTACTTTGAGTTTCTTTAGGTTACAAGGACAAAACATGTCTTATTAATTAAATCATTAATTAAGTAGATTACTATGTTTTGGGGACCATGATTTCATAACTTATTGTTTAGCTATCGAGAATACATACATGCCAAAATAATAAAATCAGTTGTCCTTTCCTCATCTTTACATTGTTTTCTTTTTGCTTTCAAGGTATTGCTGTGCTTTACTTACATCTCTTTGAAGTGTTCGGGGACCCTGCCTACCTCCAGATGGCACATTGCTATGTGAAGCAAAGCCTGAACTGTTTGACCAAGCGTTCCATTACCTTCCTTTGCGGCGATGCAGGACCCCTTGCGGTGGCCGCTGTGCTGTATAGCAAGATGAACAATGAGAAGCAGGCAGATGATTGCATCACACGGTAATCATGTTTCTTTGTAAGGATTATTACCTAAACGTATTGCATTTTGCATATATCAGCAAAAAAACATTCTAGTGAATACTTTTCTTGGCAGATAAATTTTATTCCTGCATTTGATCAGTTCTTATATATTTTTCCTGTGTTGTAGTTAAGAAACAACCATTGTAATCCCTATTTTATTGCAAGATACAAGACATCGTCATGTTCCAGATTAAACATGAGTTCAGTAACATTTGTGAGATCAAAAACCTAATCATGTGATTGCTAATCCAGCATCAGAAATTCAAAGAAATGCATTTAAATTCTTGCATTTGAGCCTAGAAAGGCATCCTAAGGGGCCACAACTAATTCAAGACTGCCTTTCTCAGGGACAATGCCATGTAAATCCAGATTTCCATTTTTAATACAAGTCATGGCACTCTACTGGAACCTTATGAATTATGAATTACTAAACTTTTATATTAATAAAGTTTATTTGTTGCCTTATTAGAGTTTATTGAGCATGCCTTTGAATTTACTGAGGAATCTGACTGCCATGCAACTCCGTGTAGGGCTCATAGGCTCCCACTGAGCATGTTTACACTAACAGGAGAGTTGCAACTCAGCAGCATTTTAATCAGTGATTATCACTGAATTGTCCATGGTTTTTCATTCCCAGTATTCTCTATTATAAATTACCACCCAAATAACATTATCATCACCAGTAAAGTTAGTTAAGGATCTCTTAGTTAAACAGTTGGCCTTCCATATCCACAGGTTTACATCCATAGATTTAGCTGTGGATCAAAAATATTACAAAAAAATTTTCTTTTGTACTGAATAGTACAGACTGTTTTTTTTACATATTGTTATTCTCTAAGCAATACAACTATTTACATAGTTTTTATATTGCATTGAGTATTGTAAGTAATCTGGGGATGATTTAAAGTAGATGGGAAGGATAAGTATAGATTATATGCTACTATGCCATTTCATATGAGGGTCTTGAACATTCACAGATTTCAGTACCCACCAGAGAAATGGGAACCAATCCCTATGAATACCAAGGGGTGACTGGTACTGTGTGGTGGTGTGTGTTTCATCAACAGGCTTTTTGGACATAATTATGTTGTATTTAAAGAAATAAATATTCATGCCCATATTGTTTAACCCCACATGTACACAAATTGGCAAAAGCATACACAAACAAATTCTCCCTCTTCCTTCAATTTTTCTTTATTATATTTTTCTATTTTTTTCTTATTACTATTTTCATATTGTAACTTTCACTGGAATTTTTTATTTTTTACTTTTTTTTGGGGGGGGGGGGATTGAACCCAAGGGTGCTTAACCCCCAAGCCATATCCCCAGCCCTTTTTTCATATTTTATTTAGAGACAGGGCCTCACTAAGTTGCTTAGGGCCTTGCTAAGTTGATGAAGCTGACTTTGAACTCACAATCCTCCTGCCTCAGCCTCCCAAGCAGCTGGGATTATAGGCATGTGCTACTGCACCTGGCTTCCACTGGAAATTGTAAGAGAAGGAGAAAATGAGTGGGTCAAGGAGTCTTTTACTCTATAATGCTTTGTTAATAATTATATTAAATAATCCCCTGAATTGACATATGTTTTAGTGAGCTCTTGCATCACTGTGACCAAAAGACTTGACAAGAACAATGTAGAACAGGAAAAGTTTATTTGGGGGCTCATGGTTTCAAAGGTCAGTGTCCATGGTTGGCCAACTCCATAGCTCTGAACCTGGGGTGAGGCAGAATATCAGGGTGGAAGGATATGTCAGAGGAAAGCAGTTCAAGACATTGCAATCAGGAAGCAGAGAGCTTTGCCCACCATCAACAAAATATAAATCCTAAAGGCAAACCGAGCCATTGACATATCTCCTCCAACCATACCTCTTACAATTACCACCCAGTTAATTCATAACAGTGGATTAGGTTAAGGTTCTCATGACCCAATCATTTCATCTCTAAAAATTCTTGTATTGTCTCACACATGAGCTTTTGCAGGACTCTAAACCATTTTTTTATGTATAACTATGCTACATCTATTAAAGGCTATAAATTATGTAGTACAACTTATTTAGTGTATATGGAAGAAAAAACTCCAAAATTGTATTTCAAGGCTGGGAAATATTTAGGATAAAACATATTACCAAGCTTGATCAAAATGGCAAATGGAATGATTGCTTTAAAGTTTAATTAAAATATTTTCCTTCCATAACAATTGACTTGTGTGAGACTAACCAATACAAAAGCTATTCCATACTTAAGTTTGAAACACAGAAACTACCTTTTTTCTTGGGCAGTTTAAAAAACCTCACAAGGTTCATAAGATAGTCTTATTCAGTGAATTGCTCTTAAATACCATCAAATTAAATTGTAGTGCTCCCATATTTTACAGATGATGCCGCCATTTCCCAATATATGCGCAGCCAAATAGTAAGAGTTTGCTGTGTGAGGAATGTTAATGGTATTCGGTAAAAACAGGGTATTCAGATTTGGGATTGTATTCAAACACTAGTTAAACAAAATTAAATATACACCTCTACTGGCTGCTCAGAATATTTAGTAGTTTATGTGCATAGAGAAACACTGCAACTCTAGAGAGCACCATTTACTAAACTTACATAGACACCTGTCTTCGCACATCTTGAAGACCTAGTCTAAGAAACATTCTTTGGGAAATAATACCAAACATCAATGTTGGTTTATTAAAATCAGAAGAATGAGTTAAGATTCTGTTTTTTCTTGGTAACAAAATTTTTTATATTTTATATCTTTTAATATTTTTTATGAGATTTTCAAGAATATAACTGGAAGACTTATTAAGGTTAAAAATTAGGAATACAGATATATGACAGAAAAATACACTATTTAGATTTTTAAAGTTCATGGTAGAACAGAAAGAAGAATTATTTGTATATGCTTGCTTCATCTTTCAAATTTCCTCCCTTTCAGTGGAATAATTTATAATTCTTTATGGTTTGATTTTAGAAAATTCAAAATTATTTGGTATCAGTAGGTATTAAATAAACCTACATGCTTGTTTTACTTTTTTACCAACCTCCTTTCTCTTATCATACCCCTTTTGGGATTTGTTGTAGAGGCTGTGTTGTGTTCCACTGCCAATATCAATCATATTCTAGCTCATCTTTCCATTACATTTCTTTTATGTAATGGTCTTTCAAAATCTTAATTTTGAGTTTTAAAATCCAAAAGGACCTCTGAAATCATCAAAAACCTAATTCTTCAACAAAGAAACTGAAATTCAAATAAATTAGTTTTTTTCCTTGGGTAGAAATCTTAACCTTGGGCCTTTGAGAATCTTGTGTTTTTGTTGTTTTTTTTTTTTTTTTTGGGGGGGGGGGTTGTGCTAGGAATTGAACCCAGAGACACTGAACCACTGAGCTACATCCCCAGTCTTTTTATATTTTATTTTGGGACAGGGTCTCACTAAGTTGCTTAAGGACTCTCCAGGTTGCTGAGGCTGGCTTTGAATTTGTGATCCTCCTGCCTCAGCCTCCTGAGCCATTGGGATTACAAGCATGCATCATCATGCCTGGCTGACCATTTTTACTTCTCTGGCAAGGGTTCCTGACTCCTCAAAAGGAGTGTGTATGTGTTCTTGTTCATATTGTCCTGCTGATGACCAAGGGATGGAAGAGTGGACAACAGTACATAGTGGTACACAGTGGTAGTTCTTTCTACTGCCTGATATATATCATGTCCACTTTTACCCTTCTTTCTACACAGAGGTATTAGTACTACAGCCCAAATAGAAATCATAGCCTGTTAGGTACCCAATTAGGTGACAAACCTGACATATATAGTGCTTTAGAGCCATACTTAGACTGATGAAGAGCTTTAGCTTTCTAGACAGGAAATGTATCAACTTTCTGCTTTTGTAGTGTGATGGGTCAGAAAAGAACTACTTTTTTTTTTTAACTTACAAACCTTTTGATATAATACAAAACCAAAAAACTCTCCCAATAACACCCTGAGGAAATACTGCTAGTTCTGGGATAGAAGTAGCCTATTTCTAAATGTCTTTATTTTTCCTTCAGTGACATTTCAGTGACTTCCTTATCTCTCTTTTAAAGATTGGGTGTTATTAATATCAACATAATCAAAACAAATAAATGGAGCTGGAACAATATGCTTGTGGGTTTGAGAGTTTACAAAAATACAAAATAACCATTATGATTTATGAATGCTATTATTATTTTATCATAGCATGTGAAACATGCAGTCAAAAGTCCAACTGTTGCTAACCTCTGATTCAACTGGTTTAGTGATATGAATTAAAATCCAGGGAAAAAAATGAAATACTTCCCTTGTTACCCTAAAATCCATTGAAGAGATACTTTGAGCATATTTTACTTTTAAGTATATTAAAAGTATTTGCTACCTGCTTTGAACAACCTAAATTAATTAGAATACTAATTTTGTATTGCCACCTAATGGTAGTATGAGTGATAACATTGGCAAAGAGAAAGAAATGGCAATTTCTAATTTCAAGCATTTTATTTTGACAGGAACCTCATTAGCAGTAAAAGAATAATTGTTCTGAGTAATATATCCATAGTGCATGTTTGCTTTAAAAAGTATCCTAAATTCTCCCTTTTGAATAGTTCTTTGATTTCCTTTGCAAAAACAAATCAAAAATGCTTTTTAAAATCTAAATTCTATATAACTCAATGCATTTATATTAAAATGATAATAGGTTCTTATCTAAGTGCAAACATTCATTCTGTTTACTACAACAGTTTTAAACAGATTTGTGTTCTTTATAGTCTCAGTGATACTGAGGTACCATATCTGGTTTGAGGAAAAAAAGAGAATTCTTCTTAATAAATGCTTTTGAATTCTTTTGAAAATTAGGGATGTATATGTGTGTGAATGTTTATACATATGTATATGGTACTGAAATAAAAAACATAGTGGCCCATAATTCTGCCACCCACATAGCCATGAATGATGATGAGCAAAGGTTAAACAAAGTATTACGAAAAAATACAAAGAAACATCTGACCATGGTGACCCTGTTTCTAACATAACCTCTGCTCCACTGTGAGTTTATTGCTTATTTTTTAAAGGAGAAAAAAATTACATGAGCCAACATTTGCATATTAATTTGAGATGCCTCAGTTCTCAAGGTGTAATGTGAAAAAGTTGTAACTTTTGCAATAACTGCATCTAGCCATGCCCTTTCAAACTCTTCTTTCCTATTGAAAAGGAAGTTCCCTTGAAATCTCCTTTATACCTTTTTCTTTGCCTTTGTTTCATCACTATTAGCTGCTTTCAGTCACTAAAATCATCTAATTCTGTCTTTTTAAAACATGTCCTCTTCATTTTAAATGAAATGAAGAGGACATGTTTCAAATCTTTCCCCTCAAAGCTTATGGACGTAGTAAAGAGGGAGGATTATTTTCCTTTTCACAGGTATGCTCCCTGTGGAGCTGAGATTCTCCACTCTCCCTATTGGTGTACAACCTGGTGTTTACTTGGGTTTCTTTTATTCTTGTTTTTTGATAAATATGGGTGGCCCCCATATATTAGCAGGGGGGGTGCTGTATACCTTCTCAGCTATTCCCTGACCTCTGAGTATGTTAAAATGAAAGCATAAGTTAGTTGTACATTCTGCCAAATGTGCAAACATTTGTTAGAAAGAAGATCCACATACATACACACATGCAGATAGTTTCCTACTCTGTTCTTATACCTCAGAGAAAGCCACATCATCCTCAGACCCTTCTTAGAGTAAATATAAAACCTATTTCAGTCTGTAGCTAAGCGAGTATATACAGCCCCCACTGCACTTTCAAAATTCTGTGTGAATAGCAAAGACATTTCTCTATCACATTTACTCCTCTACCCCCTGCTAAAAGGAAAAAAAGTTTCATTCTCAGAGTTTAACTATCAAATGTGATTTCTTTTCCAGTCTTATTTACCTCCATCTTTAACTTCCTCCTATCTTCTGATTCCCTGGGGCTTCCCTCTCTGGTCCTCTGGGAAGAAAACTTCAGACTTTAGTTATCCTGCTCTGTCATGTACTTCTCATGGCTGTCTGCATCTGGGGCTAGATGATGTGGAGGATAGAAAGAGGAATAAAGTGGTGAGGTTCACCCTTCCCCCAGGGAAATACAGCTCCTCATATCTGTGAGAAAGTTTTCTTCCTTTGGAGTTCTGGCTCCTGTGAGTTCCATTGCTTTTACTTCTGCTGGTAACATAAGATTTCCTGTAGACTGGAGCACAAAGAAAAAATTACCCTCCCTCTCCAGGTATTAGGCTCTCCCTTTCCTGTTCATCCTTGAGACAGAAGTAAAGGACTGCTTTTAGGGCTATCAGCCCACAGGGAGCCACCTCTAGGCTCTGGGCCAGGGGCATACCAGAGGGGAAAATATGACAAACTTACCTTTAGTTTGATGGATCTTCAAATTATGGTCTTTTTCCCCATTTTGCCTTCTTATGTTTACTTTTCAGGGTTCTCAAATAGCTGCTTCATGTTTTCTGTCCAGCTTTAGGAGACTATATTTAGTGGAAGAGGTATGATTGAGTGTGCTTACTCCATCTTACCTGGGACCAGTAACAAAAATAACTTTTTGTCTGAGAAACTGAACTGAGTTTGTCAATAGAGACCTAATAGATTATAATACATCCACTTAGATCAACAGTCCTCTGTAACTGTTATAAAGAAAGAATCTGTGCCAGTATGTAATGGTTGTAAAGATGTGTTATTCAATAAAGGTGCAGAACATGGTGGGATATATTTATATTTATAAATATGTGTTTTTTATGTCTGTATGTACATAAAATAAATTTAGGAATACATACCAAAAAAAAAAAATTGGTCACCAAGGTCATTTCTGAAGATAAGAACTAGAAGGATGAGAGACTGGAAGACAGGGACATGATACTTTTGTGCCATCTACATGTGTTGTCAATTGCAGTAGATCAGGCTGCCATACAGATTATTCACATTAAGGAATAAACCAAGGAAGGAGATGAGTGGGATGCAGCAAGCCTTTCATTTTAAGGAAATAGTGGTCCTTTGTGTGTTCATGTAGTCCTTTCTCCAGGCTGCATGCTCTGATAACCAGCAGTTTGGTTTCTCTGATGCCAGCTGCCTAAGTACTAGTCTTAGGGTATAGTTTCATGAAGAACTAGGAGGTTCCAGGCAGCCTCAGCCATTCACTTGTATTCTTTTCCTTTGATTTTTTTTTTTTGTTTTTGTATGCTCCATTATAAACTAAAGAAAAAAAAAATTTAATTGAGGGCTAAATCTTTGAACCCGGATTGTATACATATATATCTTTATACAAATGTGTTTTATATGCATAAAATATCTATACAGTATGTATGTCTGTGTGTGTGTGTTAATGTAACATTTTTAAGTATTCACCAGTAGCAATCCCTGTCAGATTATTTTAGGCATGCGTTTCTATTCCTAGGCTAATTCACCTAAATAAAATCGATCCCCATGCTCCAAATGAAATGCTGTATGGACGAATGGGCTACATCTATGCTCTTCTTTTTGTCAACAAGAACTTTGGAGTTGAAAAGATTCCTCAAAGCCATATTCAGCAGGTACCACAAATTGATGCTTTTTAGAAGTCTTTTTGGGAGCCCATTTACTTGCTCATTGCCGAACCTATTACCTTTGTCTCTCCAGTTAGCACATCCTCCTACTTAAGAAACCGGGTGTATCTTGACCTTTAGAAGTCAGACACAGAGGACCAACAGTAATTCACACTAAATGCTGCTGGAAACACTGGGGAGGGACTTAAGTCAGAAGACCGCCTGCTCCATTTGAGAGTTTAGAGACTCTTTCAGAGGGAGGTCAGGGCTAGATTTCACCCCCCAGATGCAGATGTCTCCTTTTGTGCCTGGAGGAGTTTATGCTTTCCTTTGACAAGTGAATTCTTGTAGCACTAGTAAAAAAAGTTCAAGATCCTCCTTGTCTTTCCTCACTTCATTTCTCACTTCTCTGAGACACTCACTTCTCTTCAGTTGAAGTAAACAGTGCCCCTCCCTGGCAGAAGTTTAATGTACCTCATTTTTCAGTACCTCATAGCAAAAAGCTCCTTGCCTCCACCAAAAAATTTTTATTCTAATTGTCTTGTTATTTCGTTTGGCTTTCTCTCTGTAGATTTGTGAAACAGTGTTAACCTCTGGAGAAAACCTAGCTAGAAAGAGAAACTTCACTGCAAAGTCTCCACTGATGTATGAATGGTACCAGGAATATTATGTGGGGGCTGCTCATGGCCTGGCAGGAATTTATTACTACCTGATGCAGGTAATGGATGAGTATGATGAGACTTTAAAATTTGCCTCCTGACTGACACATGCACTGTATTGGGTAGGAAGACAGACCCTACAGCTCTGTTTTATCCTTCTGGCAACTACAGCATCATGTCAGTTGCTTGACCCAGACAAACAATGGTAACTTTGGCCACAGTGCATTTTAAAGTGTATAAACTTAAAGACACTGTGCTTTGAGTTGACATTTGATTTGTAGGTGACTATACCTTCCTACCTATTGCCACTCATGATGACTAAAGAATTTTGACCTGTAATTCAATATGAAGTGCCCTTTGCTCTTCTCTTTCAGCAAATGCCTTTAATTAACATATTCCCGTATTATAAGATAAAATCCATTGAAACAAATTTTCTAGGAGTGAAACTAAAATCAGTAGAAAACAAATGAGTATGTTACCTGTAGCTCTTCAGTGAATTTTGAATAATATACCTGAAAAACAGCTGAATGTATTCTGCCCAGCTAGGCGCAGTGGTGCACACCTATAATCCCTGAACTAGATAGACGAGCAGTGAAGGCCAGCCTCAGTAACTTAGCAAGACCCTGTGTCAAAATAAAATTTAAAAACTGAGGATGTAGCTCAGTGGTAGAGTGCCCCTGGGTTCAATTCCCAATATTATAACAGCAACAATAAAGTGCTACATCTAACAGTTCTTGGGTCCTGTTAATATTGGGAGACATCAACTAAAGTCAGATAGACTTAGAAATCACTGTAGAAACATGACTTGAAGAGGTCAGAAAAAACTTCTCAGAGAATGTCATTTTAGGGGACTTAGAAGCTCTCCTTAAAGAGAATTGGTACTTATGAATAAGAATTTATGTTAAAAGAAAATAAATTCTTAATGGCAACAGAGGGTACCCCTCATCTTCCCAGAGCACAGTGTGGTGTAAAGTGCTTCATTAATATGTTCAAAATGAGTGCTTGGATATACATATCATCAGCTGGTTGAGTAGCCAGCTATAATAATACAAAATGTCAGGCCTGCTTTCTCTGACTCAGTAATGAAAATAGAGCTGAAAAACTCAAGGTTATTACTGATTTTTGAATGCAAAATCACAATTTGTATGTTAGTGCCAATCAGATGTCAGCTGTAGTAATTATTCTGCACTTCTCAATTAGAAGTTTTATAATTAGGATTTTTGACAATTTAGACTTGAAGTTCCTTTGTTTTTCTAGCACACTCCCTCAGTGGCTCTTTTTATCCAGAAGTACATGTAAATTATTAAAAAGTTTTCAGGGAAGGAGAGTTCATGTCTTCTGAAGTTCAGGGTGAATTAAAATCATATGTGTCAGTGACTGGATTACCTCACTGACCTTTCTCTTTTTTATTATTTTTTTTTAAATTCATATATGGCAGCAGAATACGTTACAATTCATATTACACATATAGAGCACAATTTTTTGTATCTCAGGTTGTATGCAAAGTATTTTCCACCAATTTGTGTCTTCATACAGGTACTTTGGATAATGATGACCATCACATTTCACCATCATTTCTAACCCCACACCCACTTCTTTCCCCTTCCACCTCTCTGCCCTATCGATATAGCTCAGTTGGTAGAGTGCTTGCCTCATTGACCTTTCATTAAAACAGGTAATGAGAGGACATCTACTCTGCCTCTTTTTCGTTAGTTGTAAAAAGAAATCTGAAAATCTAAGTACTGATTTTTTTCATTTTCAGGTTATTATCTATTTGAAATGATTTCATTTTTAATCCTGAAAGTTCATTTAGTAAAAGCCTCTATATCAATAAAATAAAGCAATATTATTTTTAGGCCATGTTGGACAAGTTTACTCATTCTACACTAACACTTTAAATTGAGCTTTAACACTATTTCTTATGTAAAGTATAATCCATATATCCCCTGAAGAACTTTAAAAATCTTGTGAAAGATGTTTCATCAATATTGCTTCATTCCCAGCACTGCCTCCTGCCTATGCTTCACACCATTGCCCACCCCACATGCCCCACCCCCTGCCTGATAAAACAACACTTAAAAATGATTGTTTAAGTAGTGAGCAGTGCATTGAATTAAAAGGATCAAAAAGGGAAGCTAAAAAATTGTATCAAGAGTTGCCATTCATATGCTTTATATCAATATGTCCTATAACTCTGTATATCATTTTGTGAGATAATGCTGTATATAGATGAGTTTCAAATCCTCTACAGAAAGATATGATTTAAAGTTATGCTATAGTTTGGTATCAGATTCCTTGTCTCCTAACTTGTAAGTGTCCTTTTCTATTGAAAACATTACCTGACATTTCTCTGAATATAATAGTGAAAGTTGTCCTTGCTTACCTAATGAATCTCTTTGTGAATTTTAGAGCATGTTATAGGTATTGAAACTTTAGGAAATTTCTTCTACACTCACATTCTCAAGTGTTTACTTAGGAAACTTACTTATATGTATGCAGATAACAACAAATGCTGAAAAATAATACATACAGAAGACCATAACCATTAACTGATGGCCTAGTTTTATTTTGATTTAAAAATTATAAAGTGAAATCACAAAAGATTAAAGCAAAGTGATGCACTAGGTGAAATTCAAAGCTTTTTAATGACTCTTCAATTCCCTTTGGTCATGTTTCTCTACTGGTTTAAAACTCATACTGAGTTCTGAGAAAGTCTGTTTGCTTCAGCAAAACTAACAAATTTCTTTCTTATTTTTAGCCCAGCCTTCAAGTGAGCCAAGCAAAGTTACATACTTTGGTCAAGCCCAGTGTAGACTTTGTTTGCCAGCTGAAATTCCCTTCTGGCAATTATCCTCCATGTGTGGATGATAATCGAGATCTGCTTGTCCACTGGTGTCATGGAGCCCCTGGGGTAATCTACATGCTCATCCAGGCCTATAAGGTACTGTGTACTTTCTCATTTGAGAAAAAAATGGAAAACATAACCAAAATTTTTTTATTTAAAATGACTCTTACAGTCCTTAAAAGAGTAATATATAATTCATTTGTTAGACTTAAAATCACTTTGCTAAATAAATTATTGTCACAGTATCCATTGTTCCACAGAAGACATTATTTCATAGAACAAGAGACTGCTTCACTGACAGAGTAACCAAGATTATGACATCAGTGACAGAGCCAAAATAATATCCCAGAGGCTGAATTAAAAATAGAACCCTCATCCATTGCTGATGGGAATGTGAAATGATATGGCTTCCATGGAAAATGGTTTAGTGGTTCCCTCACAAAATTAAACATTTAATTAACATATAATCTAGCAATTCTACTCCTAGGTAAAATACCCAGAAAAAACTGAAAACAAAAAATTCAAACAGATTTGTATGCACCAATCAGTGTTCATAACAGTTCCTCAGCCAAAAGATGGAAATTATCCAGGTACCCACCAACAGATGAATAGATAAAGAAAATATGCTATATATGAGTCTTAAAAAATATTGAAATTTTAATATATACTGCAACATTCATAAACTTTGAAAACATGCTAGGTGAAACAAGCCAGATACAAAAGGATAAATACTTTATGATGCCATCTGTATGAAGTGATGCTGGGGTCTTGGGGAAGGGAGTAGGGAATGGGGATTTATTGCTTATAGGTATAGAATTTCTGTTGGAAATATTAAAAAGTCTTGCACATGGGTAGTAATGATGGTTATATAACAAGGTGAATGTAATTAATACCACTGAATTATATGCTTAAAAAAGTGTAACTGATAACTTTTATTATTTGTACATCTTACCACAATAAAAAAAAACAAATATCACTCCTAAAAAGGCTGGTATGGATGGCATTGCCACAATCAAAGAAAAAGTTTTTAATTGAGGGGGAAAAAAACAGAAGTAAACTAAGACATGTATAACCATTGGTCCAAATCAAATATAAGTTAGGTCTGTAGGCTATAAATAGGCATTGGCATCTCATAACTAAGCAAGCTTTTAGTATATCAAATTCAACATTTCAGAAAGTCAGATATAATAGAAGAGCTTTTGAAACTGCCTTATTCTGCTTTTAAGGATTTGCAATGGGATATTAAAAATACCTACTCAAGAGTATTTCTTAAGTCTTTGTTCAAAATATAGCAGGCAATAAAAGATTATGAAGGTCTACTTGTATTGTTCTGATAAAGTTGTTATATAATCAGTTTCTTCCCCAGTATATAAACAAACTTCCTATTTAATAGTAGCAATATTACATACAAAAGTTAGCATTTGTACTTCTGAGAGTGACTCATGATGACAGCAAGTTTCAAGTTAAATAATGCTGCTTAAATGATCACACCCCTATACACAGACACATGCACATAAAACAAGACCATGTAGACAAGGTCAGGCCCAGTTAATTAAAAAAAAAGCAAAGCCAATTTTAATAGTTTTTTACTACCGGTATAACACATCTCTGTCACTAAATCCCTTGCCTTTCTTGTCAGGCCCTCTCTTTTCTTCCCCTACTACTTCTTTTTTCATAGCAGGAAGGAACCTTCTTTTATATTCTGTATAAGAAAACTCATATTCCTTGACTCTTCAGGTGTTCAAAGAGGAGAAGTATCTCTGTTGTGCCTACCAATGTGCAGATGTGATCTGGCAATACGGTTTGCTGAAGAAGGGGTACGGGCTGTGCCATGGTGCTGCGGGGAATGCCTATGCCTTCCTGACTCTTTACAACCTCACGCAGGATGTGAAGTACCTGTACCGGGCCTGTAAGGTAGGGTTCAGACTGCCAGAAGCAAAGTAGCTTCAAAAAATTGAGGGAAGCGCTTTCGTTCGTCTCTTGATATTAATTTACTTTTTAAATCATGAATCATCTGTAGGTAATGAACGTTGTTTAAGAAAAACCTTCAAATGCTGTTTGGTTGAATTTAGTATTCCTTTTAAAGGGCATAATTCTACTCAAAAGTATTTATGTGAGAAAAAAGGTATAGGGTGATCTTGTTGCTGCTTCTTCCATAACCTTGATAATCTGTGGCTCAGACCACTCATTATATTTCCTTCTAAGCTATGTATGAATGGCATTTATCTCTTTTCTCCAACTTGAAAGTTTTTGACTTTTCAGAATAACATTTAGGGGCAGTATATCAACCTCTAGGGTCACTGAAACAAATCATTCTAGTAACTTAATTTGGTCTCATTGCAGTTTGCTGAATGGTGCTTAGATTATGGAGCACACGGATGCAGGACACCAGACACCCCCTTCTCCCTCTTTGAAGGTATTTTTCACACATTACTTATATGCCTTATAATATCAGCAGCTACTTCTCTGCTTGGTAATGTATTTGAATTTGAGGTGTATCAACAAATTAATTTGATGATCATTTCTTATAGTGCTTACTAATACAAGAAGTCAGTATTAAAAATCACTACATGTACTAGCACAGACCTAATAGTGGTAGTCATAATGGTGACCACCATTTATGGAGCCAGGCACATGCTGAGCATTTTGCAGATGCTGTCATAAAATCATTTCAGCAAAAACATAAAAGCATGTTATTCTTATGTCACAGTTAAGGAGACTGAGACTTAAGAGAGGTAAGTGGCCCATGGTGCCATGGGGAAGGAACTCACGTGTGGTAAATGACAGGGCAGAGACTTGAACTTGTATGGTTCCATTCTCTCCCCTGTCTTCCCTCTGGATAAAAAGACTAGGCACCTCACAGGGATCTCCTGTAATATAGAACTGTAAAGTATATAAATATAGACTGTTTCCATTTCATTTAAATTTTTGCCATTAATACTCTAATGTTGTTAATGCTAAAAAAAAAAGTAACTCTATAAAAATGGGAGTCATTTGGTGTAATAACTTTTATCTCCTTCTCTTCCTTCAGGAATGGCTGGAACAATATATTTCTTGGCCGACCTGCTAGTCCCCACGAAAGCCAAGTTCCCTGCATTTGAACTCTAAAAGGAAAGCATGCTCACACCCTGCAACTTACAGCATGACCCTTTCTGTATATTCAATCCTGGTCTAAGTGCTTTCATTGCTTTTCAAGGAAACAGAATCAAACTATGTGCTTGATTGAGTTGGGTTTTGTTTTCCAGAATTTGTCTCTAGTTGATTTTTTTTATTATGTACTTTTATTTAAAAGTATGCAAGGACATCTGTTAAATTTCTTCCAAAAGGAAGGACGGGTGATAAATACAGTATTTTGTGGTCATTTACATGTATTTTAGAATTTAGAGGAAAATCTTATTTAAATTTATGAATATAACCATCTGTTACTGTTCTAAAAATATTTGAAAGAAACTAAATACAGATAAACAAGGTTACATACATGACCATGATTGAATATTGCCCTCACCTCTTCTGTGTCATATATTTCCTCCAACAGGAGGGTGGGCAGCTTTATGACTTGGTCTTTCTCTAAGTGGTTGATTATAAAAGGGGACAAAATATAACTGTATGCTTCCAGGTGAAAAACTTGCAAGAATTATAAACTAGACTTGGGACCTTACGTACCGTTTTTCAAATTCCTGATGTCTTTTTGGTCTAGAAACATACTTTCAAATCTGCCTCTTTATCAAAAGGCATCTGGATACTGTATGCCAGCCTTTTTATAAAAAACGTAAAATGTGATGGTTATCATGAACTTTCTGATGTGTAAATTCAAGATAAGCTAATAACAGCTGTTTTATTGTTTTCTCTAAATGAAAAAATCTAGTGTATTTTCAAACTATTAAATTTGTTTGCTCTTTGGTATTCAAATTAATTAGATCACAAAGCTGATTTTCTGTGGGAGTGCTCAGAATCTAGTCTGCTATATTTGACTGATCTTCTAAACTTTGACTTGTATTTTACTTACTTCCAGTGACTGTGCTTTAGTGCTGGTTGTTTGGTACAAGCCATAAAATATATTCCGTTCTATTAGTTTATCTGAACATTGGTCTTTTCACTGAAGAATACAGCTTCTGCTTCTGCTTTAAAAAGGGTGGGAAGGGCATTGCTCTGTAGCCAGTAACTTCAAAAAGAACATAAGCTTTTGATAGAAAATTGTGTTCATTAAGAGAAATTACCAGAGGTCATGCTTATAACAAGTTAATCTTTTCATATCCTAGGCTAATAGTTCATATTTTTCTGAGATACTAGAATCAGGTTTTACATGGCAAATGAAGACTCCTGGTGCTTCAGAGTTCTGTACAATTCTATTGACTGGAATCCTCCTTCTCTCTCCCATAGCTGCCTTTGCCAGGCCTGCTTAGACTCCTTGGGACTGTTTTGGGAACATTTTGTAGCTTTAAAATAACAGGGTCTGAGAATTTTTAGTGTGCCTATTTCGTGGCTTTCTTGGTCACAAAAAAAAAATGCTATTTTGCCCGGGGCGTGGGGGCAGTGGGAAGAATCCCTACAGAGTGTATGCTGGTTCCTTTTTGTAGTAGTCCCCTGTTACTTTCTGTTAAGCACCACAATAACTAATATTATTGGAAATTGTCCTACTCTGTAAAGGCTACTTGACAATAGGATCTAAAAAGTAGCCCACTGCTCAGTTTTTAGGATTAGGTTATTCCCTCCATGACTGGTGTAAGTCAAGGGACTTGTGCCTCTTAGATTTCAGAAGTGCTCTGGTAAGTTCGTGCAAGCTGTGCCTTTCTTGTGTAAGTTTCAGACCAAGGGTGTCAGCCCTTCCAGGAATAAGTACCGTAGTGCACAGCAAACCACATTTGCCTTGGCCTGGGGATCCAGCTTGAGAGAATACAGCTCATTTGGCTTAATTAAATGTCGTATCATATTGTGTCTGTACTTTTAGCTACTGGAGTTACTAACTAAGGGGAAAAGAACCAAACACTCTTTCTGTGAGCCAGGGGAGACTTGATCACAGTTCTTAGTATCTTACTATAATTTGATCCCAGTTCTTAATATCTTACTATAATTTGATCCCAGGAAGATATCAAGGTAGGGAGGAAAGCATTTCAAATAAGATTCTTGTTAATATTTGGATTATACTTTAGCAGTTGTTATCCATTAACAAATTCATCTATTCAAGTTTTTTCTTTTTTTTAAGCGTTTTAAGATTATTATTAAACTGACAGGATGTTTGTGCCATTGTTTCAGTTTTGATAAAATTTTAAATTCAGGCGGAAGTCACAAAGACAAGATCTTAAGACCGTGGTGGAGACTGAAAGAAATTTTTCAGTAGCTTTCTTAGCTACATGGCATCATTGTTTTAGTTCTATTTCTATTATATTTTGACCGCTGATATTTTTCTTCTTGGTTAAAAACTCTTCCCAAAAGTTGCTTCCCAGAAAACTGAATAACATCAATCTCCATGTGAAGACTAGGTAGTAAAATCCTCAGAGCTTTCCAAGCGGTGTCCAATTTATCCCAGCATACACTTCTGTTATTGTAGTGATGAGAAATTGCACTGGTTAACTTTTAATCATGAAAAAATGTTAACATCATCAAGACCATTTCCATAGGCCCATTGGACTTTGAGTTGTAGGTCTTTAATCCTTAGAATTACTTGACTCCTTTTTCATCTTTTATATAAGTTTCAATTATTTGGCATCAAAAACCTTCATGGAGGTAGAATTTTAGTTAAAAGGGGATCTAAGGCTATTTTCTCTCCTTACTATATCTTCCCTAAAGAACTGAATTGAGAGAGACACTCTTTTCCTACATTCTCAGGTTAGTTTGTGTCTGATTTTATGATGCCCTGCCTCTACCAGCTGATTTTGAAGTAGAAAATGTGGAGAGTGAACATTTATTTATATACTCCTTTGGCTACTGGAACTCATCTCTGATTTCTTATATTGAGTTCTGATTCCATTTTCTGCTTCCCTGAACTGGTGAGAGCACCCCGTTTTGATGTGTTTTGTACTGTTGAGTTGTAGAAGAAATGTTTCTCTCCTGTAGGTAGAAAACCATATTTGGGATATTCAAAAAGCCATATTGTCATTTATTGGGAAAGGCTGAGATCATATTTATATGTTGTGTAAAGAATTTGATCTAATGGCTCACAATAAAATTTTACTAGGACTATATAGTCTCCTGTGCTGCTTGTTTGCTTCAGTTTAAACTTGAAAAATATTTTTCCTCAGTGGTAAATGCTATATATATATATATATACATACACACACACATACATATACATACATACACACACTCACACACACACACACACACACACTTATTCCCTAGGGTTCTTTCCTAACTTTTTCTTCATTGTTGGGTCATAAAAGATTTCCACTACTCTCTAAAGATTTATAAATCTGATCATCATAGAACTAAGAGAAGTCTATAAGGCTTCAAGCAGAGGTGGGTACTATTCATGGCATATATATGTGAACATATCCCAATTCTAGAAATTCATTTCCTTGCTGACCAGTCCTGAAAGGAACTTTGAATAGAGAAAGGGATTAAATGAGTCATAAGTTTAAAATGTATATGCAAAGTTAGAAAGGAGTTCTGTGAAATCACCTGGGATGACTTAGTACCATTACTTTACAAGACACATCTAGTTTGTGTCATGTAGCACAAAAGAGATCTACCAAATTATAAAGTGCTGTTTTCATCTGTTAAATACATTTTGTCCTCTGGTACATATGATTAAAATGTCCTTCATCCCCTCTTTTCTACTGATTGAATGACTCATAATACTGAGGATAAATGCAGAGTTATTTTTATTTCTCTCCTTTGAAGGAAGTAAAAGTATGTATGGTGACATCAAGTCTTTAGGGCAGGCAATGAGGCATGGAGAGGATAGTGCCTTGCAGAGGTCACACAGATTTAGCATTCCCACTACCTCTGAAAAATTACATTTCATCTGAGAAAGCCATCTGGTGCTGTTCTCTGCTTTACCTCTCGCCACTGGAAGAAAAATAAAGGCAAGCACATTAAATTAAGCCACAGTTTTAATTTCATCAACAAACAAAACTTTAAATATAATTTGCAACTTACCCATAGTAGTTTATTTGTTCTGCACTCTGCATTAGAAAAGACCTTTGCCTTCCTCCTCCTGATACTCTTTGATTAGAAGAGACTAATAATTTTCATGTAATTTCTTTTTCCCAAAATAGTTGCATCTGTGGAGTCAATGTCACTAAGTCTCATGTATTCAAGCATCACTTAAACTTATAAAAACCTACAAGTCAGTCAGCTGAAAATGTGCTGCTTCATTCTGTTTCACATCCAAACTTAACTTCCTTCTAAAACTGTGGGTCAATTAACAAAGCAACAGAACACTGGCGTTTTTACAATGGAGAACATATTGGCTTCATATTTCCCATTACAAAACTGTCCAAACATGATTTTCCAGAAGCCCTGTGCTAGTGCATCCTCAGGGACTTATTTTACAATTTTGTGAGTAATGAAAGAAAGCAGCAAACACAATAAGCCAAAAGTGAAATAATGAAGATAGAGAAATGGATCTGAGCAAGGCCACTGCTCAGTCAGTTTAATTTCACATTTTCTACATTATGTTAACTTTTCATCCACATGCAAATTACAACCCTGGTGACATTAAATATGCCGCTAACGTTCTATCACTTTGTACATAAGTGTTAGTGAAACCATTTGTGAGGCCCTTAGTCATTCTGTAGAGGAAGGCAGCAATCTTGGTAGATCAGCTTACAATAGTGTCAAAATTGCCTGATTTCTCTGTTAAAGCTAGATATCAAGAAAGGCATTTTTAACCTGAAGCATCGATGTGGCTCACTGTTTAAGTTGATGACTAATAGTGATTGTTTTCTTGAGACTGGGCATTCTGAAATTCACATGCGCTCTCTTGCTGATACACTCTGAACTAGTGGCACTATCAGCTTCTGGGCTGCAGACATGCTTTTGTGTTAGTCCTGCCATTTATCTCCAAATTCATTAAACAGGTATGTTTGTGTGCAAGGTACCTAGATGGGACTTCTGAGTGCATAAAATAAACATCCCTACTCTGGCAACTCCACTGCAGCTCTTAGTTCAGTGAAGAAGACAAGTGACTGGACAAGCAATTACAAGGAAATGTAATGTAATGTTCTTGGTAACACTGCCAACTACTCTTTCCCTTGCTTTATAAATTTAATATAAGTCTAGGTCTCTCATGTGCCCTGTGGTTTCTGTCTCTATTTGGAAGTACTAAAGTTAGGTATCTTTCAGGGAGAAGACACTTAAAAAACCCAGTCAGCCAGCCCAGAAGCACTCAGAGTTATTACATTTGGACTACCTTAGTGATGAGCAAGGTGGAGGGAAATCTGAAGACAAAAGTCACTTGCCCCCAAAGTCCCACTCATTTGGTCAACTTTGGAAAAGCTCCCAGCATTAATAATTTAGGTTCAATTCATTTCCTTCAGGAATACTCTCAAGATGCATCCAGTTTAGGAGAAACAGTTTATTGATCCTGCTATGTCATTAGCACCTAATAATTGGTTCATGACCTTCGTAGCTATCATGTTGTTAGCATATTCTAGTTAGAGCACCTAGTTAGGATTAGAAATTTGTATTATCTGCACACAAAAGATTTTTTGAGGTGGAGGTGAACATAAGCAAGTAATTGCAAGGTGATATGGAAGGATACAGAACTGGCTTTTAGTACGTTAATAGAAATGGAATGATAGAAGTATATGAGAATCAAGGAAATGTGTTAAAGAAACCTTGAAATGAGGACTTTGCTCAAACATAAATGTGCATAAAAATCACTGAGGCTCTTGTTAGTGATGCTAAAATGCAAGCGGGTGGACCTGAGATTATTGTGCATTTTTAACAATTTATCAGATAATGCCCATGCTGGCCACAGAGCCTACTTGGAGTACCAAGGCATTAGATAATCCGTCACAAATCCCAAATAGGTGGAGAAAAAAAAAAAAAAGGAAGGCCAGGAGTTGGCTAATGGGTTGAAAGAACTGACTGAATACATGTGAAATCAGATGAGATCAGGCACATTCAGGGTTAGTTATAGCTGTCTACAATAACATGTGAAATCAAAGGGTTCAGGCAATAAGTATAAGCAAGAGCATGGGCCAGAATGATGGGGATCTGATTTCCAATGTGACACAATTCCATATAATGTCAAAGCAAAGGCCATGGTCTTGAGGTGGCCATTTTTTTTTTTTTTTTTTTTTTGTACTGGTGATCATAATGAGTAAAAGAAAAGGATCTGAAACAGGTAACATATTTGATTTGAGTGGAAAAATTGCTAAGAACTTGGAATTTTCTTCAAAGAGTTATAAGCTTCAATTAATATAAGAATTATAAAGAAATACCTCTATACCAAAGAATTAAGTCATCTGGAATTATTAAGGCTCATATGGGAAATACTAGGTCTTTCTGTCCCTTATTTAGAGCTTATAAGGAGTCAACATTAGCCAACCAACTCTAAATGATGTAAACACAAAAGCAGAAAACTCTCATTTCTTTTTCCCTAACAGTTTTTCTCAGCATGTTATGAGTAGGAAATGTATAGTGTAGGTATCATTTGCCTTTATTTGCTGTCAACTGCCATTTGCCATGATTGCTATGTAAGAATTTATTAAGTGATGTGAGTCTGTAGTGCCTCCAAAGCCATTTATCCAGGGACACTTCAATACTTAAGAACAAAGCTGACCCAGGAAACTTGAAAATGTAATTAGAAATAAGAAAAACCTATCATTTCCTCAAATCCTAACTTGAAAGTCTGATGCAAATGAGAGTGATCATTAATACCTCTATACTCTTGTTCACATAAGCATATATACCCTGAGTACTTTGTACTAAGAATTGACCCAAATTTATATGCTCACAACTAATGCATTTTCTACCACATATAATAGTAAATGCTAGGCATGTTTCATCACTTACAAGTTCTTACCTGCCCAGTTTCAAAAGTGAGTTGCTGAGTAGTGACATCACAAGTTGGTGGGACAGAAGTTCCTGCCCTTCTTCCCCGACAGAAACACTGATTTAACCGAACATAGACCAAATTACCTTCAGAATCCACTTAAGAAGTTGTTAGGATTTGGATCTTGAATGACTCCTCAAAGGCCAATGTACCAAGTCTTGGTACCCAAGGTAGCAATGTCAAGAGAGAGGGCTTTTAGGAAATTGTTAAATCGTGAAGACTTTATCAGTGAATTAATTCATTTGATGGATTAATAATTTGAATGGATTATTGGGAGTTAGGACCTAGCTGGAGGAAATAGGTCACTGGAAGGGTTTATCTTGTCCCAGGCCCCTTCTTCTCTCTCTGCTTCCCAGCTGCCCTGCTGTGAGCTGATCAGATTACCTCTGCCATGCCCTTCTACTATGATGCTCTGCCTCACCTCAGGCCCAAAGCAATGGAGCCATCCAACCACAGACTGAAACCATGAGCCAAACTAAATCTTCCCTCCCCTAAGTAGTTCTCGTCAGGTATTTTGGTCACAGCAACGGAAATCTAACACAGATGATGAAATCCAGTAAGCAGGGAAGCACAAACCCAGTAACATCTACATTAAGATAGATAAGCCACTTCATTCTATCCCATCTGCACAGCTCAGCAGAGAACACTCCATCTCATGGCTTCTCCAATAGAAAAGAGTAGAGCATGAGTCCAACATTCAGTCTTTTGGGAGGGTTGCCAAAGGGCTGGTTCCTGTCTTGCCCTCTTCACAGAACTGATAGAGCTGGCATAGTTAGGATGCCTGGAGACCACTGAGAAAAAAAAGATGAATGGAAGGAAAGTTGCTACAACCAGTAAACTTTCAGAATGCCTGGGAGGAAAGCATACAAGTTGAGATTTGGGTGGGGAGGAAAAATAATGGAGCTTACATCCAGCATTCTGGTTCTATCAAGGGCTCCAGAGGAAATGGTTTCTGCCTCTTCTCAGTGAGAGTTGTAACTGACCTAACATAGTTTGAAACCCAAAGACCTCTGAAAACAACAGAGTGGGACAGTTTGATGCAGTTGGCATGGTACACAACTGAGATTTCTCTCCCAGGATGAAGAAAAAGAAGTGGACTCTATGCCTGGCATTCCAGCTTTGGGACAGACTGCCTTTGGCCCTGGTATGTCTTTCTAGACACAGAGTATTAACAGGG